AACCTCATGTTGGGGACCCGGTAGTTGACCTGAGAAAGCATGTTCTTCAGATCCTTGGCGGAGATCCTGGCTCGGAAGAGGAGAGAGGGGAAACACATTCAGGAGCTCTGGGGTGGAGGGGTCTCACCCTGGGAGCGGGACACCACATGCCCAAAGGGACAGCAGCCGTGACACACAAGGACGGATGCACGTCCCCAGAAGGACGCCGGGGCTGGGACCAAAGGCAGAACAGAATGATGCGTGCATGCTGCATGTGGGGAGCGGGGAGAGGCACTTGCCTCCCAATGGAAACTGCAAACACACCGCTCCTGCAAGCTCCCAGCACCGCAGGGCGAGTCCCAGCCTTCTCATCCTACTTGAGCCGATGCCGCAATGGCCATGCAGTGCCTAGTGCTTTACGGGAACAACTGGGGAGAAGCGTTTTTCAAATATCTGTGCCCCAGCATGGATGCTGCGTGACCAAATCCCTTCCAAAACCCACTCCCTGGCCTGCGGAGGGAGCTGGGGGAGAGCAGGCTTTGCAAGTGGTTTGGACCCAGCTAATTTTATCCTAAAGAGAAAAAAAGAAAAGAGCCATTGGCAGTGTCTAGCCACAGGCACAGCGCCGCCACGTCGTGCCCAGCAGCGCTCCCCAGCCACTGCTGCACACAGTGGCACTGGGCAGCCAGCGTGGCTGTCCTGTCCTCCCCCCGAGTCCTTTGCACCAAACGTGCCGGTTCCCGGACACGGGAGGGCTCCGGCGCCAACCCTGAGCAGGATCCGGCACCCAGACTCCCCGACTCTCCCAGGAAGGAGCCCTGGGCCACCCCTGCCTGCTCCGGCGTTGTTCCCCCATGGGGCAACAGCCCTGCAGCGAGAAAAAAGTGGATGTCTCCCATCTGCAGGATTTAAGAAGCCGAGAGGTCTGCGTGCAATCATCTTCTGGCAGCTCCTGTCTTAAAAGCAAGTCCTCTGAGTCCACCCCAGCAATCACAGATGCTGCTTTTGCCCCCCACTGAGCAAGCGGGAGCCCAGGACCCTGCAGGATGCTCCCCCATCCCGCAGAGCATAGGGCAGGTCTGACCCTGGGAACGCTCACAGCATTGGGGTGCTAGTAAACATGTCAGGGAAGATGTCATGTCCAGGGGTTTTAACCCAGGCAGATGCTGTCATCTGCAGTGATGGGGTGGAGCAGAGTGAACCGCATCTCTGATGCTTTTCTTTGGAAAGATGACACATGAACGACACAGAAAGCAGGAGGGATGGAGGGAGCCCCAAGGAGAGGGGGAAGCCGGCTGGTGTCAGGCGCTGCAGAGACAAGGGC